CGACCGGGACGCTGGGGAGAGGCAGATTCTGCGCTACCTCTACGCCTGCTTCCGGAGGGCGAGAGAGGAGGTGGGCGAAGGGAGAAGGCGGCTTTGTCACCCAGCGTTCTGGTCCGAGGGGACCCAGCTGAGGTTCCCGTGGCCAGGCGCGGATTCCGGGGTCCCAACTCCCTTCTCCTCGGGTAGATAACCAAGGTGCCGGAGAACCTGCTGCCCTTTGCCGTGCGCTGCCGGAACCTGACGGTGTCGAACACCCGCACCGTCCTCCTCACCCCCGAGATTTACGTCAACCAGAACGTGTACGAGCAGCTGGTGGACCTGATGCTGGAGGCGCTGCGAGGGGCGCGTAAGTCCGGTGGAGTCGGGCTGGGGGCTGCCGGGTTGCGCTGTCCGACCACCGGGCACCGCCGGGAGTAACGGCCTCACTTCCCTCGCTAGACTTTGAAGACGTGACGGAGTTCCTGGAGGAGGTGGTAGAAGCCTTAACGATGGACGAGGAGGTGCGGACGTTCGGGGAGGTCATGCTTCCGGTGTTCGATATCCTGTTGGGCAGGATCAAGGACTTGGACCTCTGCCAGATCCTGCTGTACACGTACCTCGACGTGCTGCTCTACTTCACGAAGCAGAAGGACATTGCGAAGGTGGGTGCCCCGGCCCCATCCAGGGCTCCTGGCGGGCTCTGCCTGCGGAGAAGCATGTTCCTCGGCCCTAATCCGCCGGGGTCAAACCCAGCGGCACGGTGTAACAGCGCCCTGTGCGTGCGCTCACGCCCCTCTCCTTCCTTCTCAAACCCTTACGTGTGGTTCCGTGTTCTACACGACCGTCAGCACGTCCTGCTGCATTCCCTAGGTTTTTGCTGGCTACATCCAGCCCAAGGATCCCAGCAACGGGCAGACGTACCAGAAGGCTTTGCTGGGGACCGTTTTAAACATCTCCTGCTTGCTGAAGACGCCTGGCGTAGTGGAGAACCATGGCTACTTCCTGAACCCATCCCGATCCAGCCCACAGGAGATCAAAGTGCAGGAATCCAATATCCATCAGGTGGGCGGAAGTGTGGCCGTTGCGCTTCCCACGTGTCCCAGGGCTGAAGGCGCGATGCTGGGACTGCTCCCAGCGGGGACTTCTCCCGCTGGCTCTGTACCAGGAAGCGGTCACTGGCAGGGGCTGCCCCGCTCCCGCCTTCGTTCAGGGTCCCTGCTGCTGCCAGCATGCCCAAAGGGGTTTGGGTTTGCCCCCCAGGGCAACAACTTGCTCTTGGGGGTCCCTAATGATCCTTTGGTGCCAGCCTCGGGGTTTGACCCACTCGCAGCGTGTCCGAGGGGTGACCGAGGCATCCTGGCCTTCTCTTGGGGAGCCCAGCCCGTGCAGAGCAGGATGCGCTCCGGAGCGGGAGTGCTCCAAGGGCATCGATGGGGGTAGAGCGACCGCACCGGTGACCCCCTCGACCGCCCTGTGTTCCCCTGACAGTTCCTGGCCCAGTTCCACGAAAAGATCTACCAGCTGCTGAAGAACCTCTTGCAGTTGTCTCCAGAGACAAAGCACAGGATTCTCTCCTGGCTGGGGAACTGCCTCCACGCCAACGCCGGCCGCACCAAGATTTGGGTGAACCAGATGCCGGAGATCTTCTTCCAGATGTACGCCTCCGACGCCTTCTTCCTCAACCTGGGAGCTGCCCTGCTGAAGCTGTGCCAGCCCTTCTGCAAACCAAAGTCCCCGAGGCTGCTCACCTTCAACCCCACCTACTGCGCCCTGAAGGAGCTGAACGAAGAGGAGAGGAGGAGCAAGAACGTGCACATGAGGGGTACGCCAAACCGCGGGGAGAAGGGGGGTGTCCCCGGCTCCTCACCCCAGGGGAGCTGAATCCAAGTAAAGCGCTGCCTGGCGTGGCCAGCAGTCACCACGTGTCTT